GATGCAATAAAGGCTGGATCACATTTTTCAGACATAGTGGTCTACCTGCTACACTTTTCGTATATTTATGGCACTAAATTCGATATCTTCGTTAAAGTCATACTTAAATTGTATCAGATAGGCTTTCGACTTTTCTGTCCAGTGCATTTTGAGCCAATTTACTGGCATCCCTGTAAATGATACCTTTCTATTATTGATAGAATTTTCTAAAGTACTTGTACAGAAAAAAGTCCTGATGCGTCATTTGAACGATATTAAATGGTGCTTTCTTTTTACAGGTTTTTATTATATTATACCAATCATCTGGCGAAAACATATTCTGAACTTTTTTTTGCTTGAGATTCGATGATAGCAAATTGTGAATCATTAGGCAAATAACTCTGTCCCCTTTCTAGACATTTCATTTCAATTGATTCAGCTTGTATTTCTGTACTTTGAAGCAATTTCAATAAACTTAAAACAGTTTTAATATTTCCATTTTGGCCCCTACATGAGTCTGAGTAGGTCATTATTTTTTACAGTTTTTAGCACAAATCTTTATATACTTTACTAAACATGAAGAAATTTCCTGAGACCCACGAGATCCCTCAGTTTCTGGCCAAACGAACATGTGACTTATACTTTTATTAAAATCATGGCATCCAAAATATTATAAACATATATATTTTGTTTATAGTAAGCTATCGATGTAGTCAATTTTGGAAAGGCTAAAGCTTTTTCCAAGTCAAAAGAAAATACAGAAATGTCTTCGGATGTTACCATCCGATCGGCAGCCATATGACTACGAGCCTGTTCAGCCTTTGGCAAGTGAGCGTACTTTTCGATTTTTGCCATTCTCATTTCCTCACTGTCAGAAGACTCAATTTTTATTTGTAGATTTCACAAGTTTCGCATGTATCTTTAGGTGGTTGCTTAAAATGCACAATAAATTTAGTCGAGAATACCTTGTAATAATATTTTTCTTTCACTGGTTCTATATTTCCTTCCGTACATTGCACGATGTAAAGTTCGTACATTTTCTTAATATTTAAGTCCGGATTTAAGTACACTCATGTCCATAAATTAAGGATAATACAAAATCAGGCAAAGAAAGAGTTAGAAGCAAAACAAATTTGACTTATTTGTAAAGCTTTTGTTTAATAAATAAGCTTTACAAATAAGTCAAATTTGGTAAAGAACAAAAAAAGATGCTATATGTTTGATGTTATTAAAAGAATAGCATTTTTTTCCCTCCCTGGAGCAAATTAAAAAAAAAAAAAAACTATTTACAAAAAACCAATATTACATGGTTGGTATGATTGTTAATACATTGTATGTCTCCCAGGCGATGCAATACAGTCCATACAACGCCTAGGCATGCTGAGTATCAAATTATCGATCTAATCTTGGGTGATATTATACCACTCAAAAAGCAATGTTCTCCGAAGTTCCGGTAGACATGTAGGAGGAGGTTGACAGTCTGCAACTCATCGGCCAAGCATGTCCCACACGTGCTCTACTTGATTCAAGTCCGGTGAGAATGCTGGCCAGTCCATACGGGTGATATCTTCTGATTGAAGGCATTCGCTTACGATGTTTGCATGGTGAAGACGGGCGTTGTCATCCATAAACACAAATTGTGCGCCCATGCCACCCCGAAACAAACGTACATATTCCAGAATGACGTCCCGATAGATTTGGCTTGTCATGGTTCCAATTTGAACATGTAGGTCAGTTCTGGAACCCAGAATAATTCCACCCCAAACGAGCACTCCTGCACCACTGTAACCGTAACGTTCAATGATGTTTTCTTGTGGTAACGGGTATCTGGAGCTCTCCATATGAAAGTCCGACAAAAATCAGACTGCAAGCTAAACCTGGGCTCGTCGGAAAACATCACACAAGCCCACTGTTGTGGTGTCCACAATGCATGTTCTCTACTCCAGGCTAACCACAGGCGACAGTGAGTTGTAGTTAGTGGAATGCATCTGACAGGTCTACGAGCATACAGACCAATCTGCCCTAAGCGTCTGTACACGGTCTACCTCGAAATTGTCGTACCAGTAGCTGAAGAGAGCTGACAAGACAGGTCTGAGACTGTGCTCCACCTGTTTCTTTTGGCAGTAACTGCCAAAATACTGGTCCTCATTCGGCATTGTAACTCTGGGGTGACCTGTGCTGTAACATCTACTCACATTACCATCACCTTGGAATCGTTGCCAAAGCCTGGAGATGACACTCTGGGCAATTCCAAGTTTGTCTGATACTTCCAGTTGGGTACGCCCACATTCCAGACGGCCGATAATTCTACCACGTAAAAAATCATCCAACTGCGTCCTTTGTGTCATAACTATTTGGTTATTGCACAGAAATGCTTATAAAGCGCCTGCGAACACTTTTACTTCTTTGCCTGTATTCCTTATATATCACTCTCTTACACTCTCGTCATGTGACGTACCATCGGTGTCATCTGGTTACTTCCTGAAATTTGCATATTATTCTTGAAGATGTGTGTAGTGATTTTACAGGTGATATATTTATTTTAGAGTTCGATTTCCGCGTGACTCTGAATTATCCTTAATTTATGGACATGAGTGTATTTTCTCCTTGGGTTATAAGTTCTTGTGTACGCGGGAAATGAGTTTATATGTTTTATAACATATGTGTCATCAATTTTGTTACCTGGAACATAGCGACCATGATAATCAATCAACAATGAAACTTGTTCCTTACAGCAGTAGTCGTATAGTCGCACATCACTTATCTGATAGGTATCCTTAAAATATTTTTTGCAAACCGAAATATCATCTTTTCCGAGTCTTCGATAATAATACGTGAAAGAACATGATCTCAGAATTTTACTGTTAACCTTCGGATGCCTTCTTTTTATTTCTTTGACTTTAATGCACCCTCTTAAAAAAATATTTTGCTCAACTTGACTATCTAACTGATAAAATGCCTCCATGGCAGCTTTTCTTTCATCCGAAATGTTTTTTTCATTGCACTTCTGATGACATCGACATGACAGATTTGCAAATGTTTTTTCAGATATTAAACGTCCACTTCTATTTTTGTATCCTAAACCTTTTATTCTGTTATTTTTTTTTTTTTTTTTGACATTTCGGTTCCATTTACCAGGATTATGGCTTCTTTTTCGTCCTGTTAAATTATTTGCTGCGATTTTTTCATTGCAGTGATCAGATGACGAATCCGAATAAATACAAAATCGTTTTCTTGAGCCGAGCTTTCTGCCAATAATTTGTATTGAAGAACCATCCGATTCATTATTTTCCTTACTCAAATAATTCTTATTAACATCTTCCATCTTAATTTTATAATGGTTTATTTCTTTTTAAAAAAAGAATTCACAGTAAAATTGAAATTTATAAGTATCCTCACTTCACTTCACTTGTGGCAGTTCGAATACAACTAATTTATATTTTACTTTTCTCGTGCTTAGTTCGTGTGAGCCATAACAGCTCTCGTCTAATGGGAATAATGAAATTATACGAACAACTTACAGATGTCTCCGTAGGAGAGGAAAAATAGTGCAGCGGGTTAAATAAATTTTTATTATGATATAAATACATTATAGTATGGAGTTAATCAAATTGGCTTCTGACATAAATTATTTATTATTCAATGGCTAAATGATTTTGCATTTAGTGGTGTTAGTACTTATTATTAGAGAAATTTGTTTTTAATATGCACAGTTAGGAGCTAATGAAGTGCTTTGATATTAAAATTTAATAAAATTCCAAAAATGAAGTTAATCGATTTGGCAAGTAAAGCATTCATATTCTGCTTCCACAACAAAAATTTTTAATACTTTATACTGATTCTTTTTACTTTTGTACAAGCAGTTAAAAAGATATTCATCAAAAACAAAATTGATTAATAAATACAGACAATATAGCAACTGTGTTTTTCACAAAAATCAAAATAAATAAATAAAAAAAAATCTTTATGCTGTTTACATTATGCCCAAAAGGGCACTTCTTAAATATTTTGTGTGTTACCTATATTTAATAAATATCATGTTCTTCACACTTAAAACACATAAAATTCAATTCAACAGCACTATCACATAATATTCAAAAGAGCATATCTTTAGAATTTCCGATACACAGTCTTGTGCACTGGAGATAATTTTTCTTTTTCTTACAGTGTTTCTGCTGCTCGCTTTGAAATTATTGACTTTCTTTATCAAAAACTCCTTAAAGTTTTACAAAATACGAAATCGATAATAAAACAAATTCCAAATTTCAAATTTGGGCTTCCAGATGTCCATATTCGCAGGTTCTAGATGTCCATATTCAGGGTTATGTCATTGAAAATTTGATGGTTCTCGGTACCACTGTTTTATCACAATGCGAGAAACATACATACATTTATGCAGATTCTTCATTATTTAATTTCTTCAAATCTAATACAAGGCAATAATATTTGGTGGCAGCAGTTCAAAATGTGAAATGGACATTAAGAGTGATTCGACGCAAAATCACAAAACAAAAACAACAGTCCCTCAGGAACAAAGCCCCTTTAAACTAACAATTGTTCTTCTCACACCTGCTTCCATCCAGCTAGCATGTAATATTCCATCACTTAACACTTATTTATATTCAATGTAGGCTCGTAATTCTGGAATTGTAAATAAATTTGTCACAGGATGCTTTACTGTATTTTATTACATTATGAATAGCACCTAAAATATTTCTGCAAACCTATAAGCAGTTGAGCTATGTTAAACCTATGAGCTTTGTCATTCACGAAAAAGTAAGATTACCACCATTTTTATTTTTATTTTTTTTTTTTTTTTACACAATCACCTAAAGTTATGAGTATTATAACATTGTCGTTTCTATTTTAAATGAAAAAGATGTTCCTCCAACTCTAGTAATTCTAATAAATGAGTTCTAAAGGACAAAAAAAAAAAAAAAAAAAAAAAAAAATGACCCCCCTTCCTCAAAATGAACTACTACATTTTTATATTAAAAATATTAATAAGTATGATTAGTTACCTGGCCTTTTCTGAAAAGTCCTTTAGCATTTTTTGATTCTATTTCTAGAGCTTTGTCACAGTTTTCAATAACTTGATGATGATTCTCTAGCTTCAAGTAGCAAGCAGCTAAATTAAGATAACCAGCAACTAAAAGAGTATTCTTTTTTTCTTTTGCTTCTCCTTCTAGATCAGATTCGTATTGAAGATAATTTATGATCTTTTTATACTGTTTTGTTGCCAATTCATATTTGCCATTCTGCAAGTTAAATAAAAATTCTGAGTATCAAATTTCAATAGAATACTAAATACTAAGCTTAGACAGACAGTTAAACATAAAATCAAATAATCACATAAGACATGGAATTAAACAACACACATATAGGTTAAATCATTCTATCTTAAAACAAATAATACTTTTATCACTTCTGAGTCAAATAATAAAACAATCAAATAATTATTGATCACCAAGTGCCGAGGATAATTTATGGTTACACTTTAAAGAAACAAAGGAAACAAAATGTAAATAGCTTAAAAGACATTGCTAACCATTTACTTAATGCATAACTGAATTTTTTATTAAGTTTGGATTTATCATAATTTTCTCCTAACATATTGGTTGCATTCCTGCAAAGAAAAACTTTGATTTTTACACATTTTACAAAAGTCTCCAGCATTCATACACTTTCATGATGAATGCCTCAGGAGCTCTGTAATTTCACTGTTTAACTATAAACTACCCCAATTACTAAAAGCAAACAAAAGATCTTCTACTCCCTCAGCCAGCTAGCCTCCTGAAAGTTTGGGCCAAAGCCAAAACTTTGAAATCCACAAACAGTCCATTAAAAGATATTTTTCTAGGGTCCTTTCAGTACTTCAAAGTAAAAAGAGAATTCTGGAACTGTAATTCAAAACACCTCTACCACACTGAACCTGAGCCCTTTTCCGTCCAGTAATTTTGGATATACTTCAAGATAACTGCATATGCATTTATCTAAAAATATTAAGGCAAATACTGTTGAATATACACCAAAGAGCCATTATATTATGACCACCCTCCATCTATAACAATGGGCTTACCCAGGAACAAAACCACTGCATGTATGCGGCTGATGTTGGAGTATATAAAGTGGCTATGCATTGTCTTTCCATATATATTGCGATTAGTGGCATAATGGGAAAAGTAGCTAACTTATCAGCCTTTGATGAAGATCAAATCATTATAGCTCAGCAACCGGAAACATCAATTTAATGGGTTGTTCACATGTAATTGTGAGCACATATCGAAAGTGGTGTACAGATGGTGAAATGACAAGTCGTTGACCAGCAGTGTGTTGTCGATGGCACATTAATTCCAGAGGAGAGCGGAGATTGCTATGCATTGTTCACCATTACCAAAGAGCTACAATAGCCGAAATCATCACCAGCCTACAACAGTGGCAAACCAGACTGTGTTTCTCAACACACTGTGCAGCGCACATTGCTGCATATGGGCCTACGCACCCAGAGACCGAAGCATGTCCCTTCACTGACGGCATGTCATCGTCAACCACATCTGCAATGGGCCAAGAAACATCGAATTGGACATTAAAAGAATGGGAGAAAGTTGCATGGTCTGATAAATCACATTTTCTGTTCCATCACATCAACAGGCATGTGCTAATATGCCAATTTCCAAATGAAACCCTGGCTCTCGGATTCACAGTTGGATGAAAACAAGCCAGTGGCGAGGGTATTATAGTGTGGGCAATGTTTTCATGGAGCATATTAAGACCCATAATCACAATAGAATAATCCTCGACATCTGTGCGCTACATGAACATCGTTGCAAACCATATTCACCCATTCTTGACAACAGTATTTCCAGCAGAGGATGGTGTTTACCAACAGGATAATGCACTATAAGGGTCGAATCGTCAGGAAGTGGTTCAAAGAACATTCCAGTGACTTTCAAGATCATGTCTTGGCTTCAAAATTCAGAGATTAATCCAATAGAACATTTGTGGTCCCACCTGGAAAACCAAATTCGTGCTGCCCCGCTACTCCCTAGCAAGGTGTGGGACTGAAAAACCAGTTGGTTAGCACTTGGTACCAGATACCTCAGACTACCTATCAGCACCTTGTAGAGTCAATGCCATGCCAGGTGCTGGCAGTTCTGAGGGCTAAAGGTAGTCCTACATGCTATTAACAGGGTTGTCATAATATAATGGCCCTTCGGTGTATGTGCATGGCTTGGCTGGTTGAAAGATTAAAAGAATTAATAAAAATTTACCAGTTAATGTTTCATATTTGCAGGATAATTTTTGGTCAATGGAGTAATTCTTAGTCCTTACTTTTATAATATGCATACTTTACATTTTATCTATTATTACTTTACTATCTTAAAACTTCAGCCCTATAATTTTTTGAAAGCTTATAATGCAAGGTAACTTTCTTAATTATAACTGCTGTCTTTATTTTCAACTCAACTTTGGAAATCAGGGTGAAAAGAGTATGGGCTATTCAACAATCTTATTAATTTCGTCATTTACAAATTCTGACAGCATAACCCTAATAATTACTGAGAATAATCGATCTTTTCATTCACTGAAGAATTGGAAGGTAAATACTAAAAATAAGCACACAATTTTTAAAGAGAAAAAGAAATATTTATGCAGTTGACTTACCATAAAGTATACACCAAATCAGGAAAAACCAATACATGTTGTAAGATAATGTAAGTGCTGATGTAAAATGATAGAACATTTTAGGGAAAATTAGTTCATTGCATAGTGCCAGAATAATATTCAAATACACTAAAGAGCCAACACATTTTGACCCGCCTACTAAATAACATGTTGCATGACCTTTGGCCTGCAAAACACGCAACTCACCACGGCATGGATGACACAAGTTCTTGGTAGATGACTAGAGACAAGTTGCACCAAATGTCTCAGCAGCAGTCATGCAAAGCTGAGATAGTCTGACATAGAGGTGTTTGAATTCTGAGCTGTCAATCTCCGACATCCCAAATATACTGTATCAGGTAAGATCCGGCGAGTCAGGTGGCAAGGACATTAACTGCTATTCATCTTTATGCTCCTCGAACCACTTCAAGAGAATTCGAACTTTGTGAAATGGGACATTGTCCTGCTGGAAGATTCCTTTTATAGTTGGGAAGACAGACGCCACGTAAGGGTACAACCGATCTGCAATTATGTTCAGAAAGTCCGCTGCTTGTGTACGACAAGCTGTACAGGGGAAGAGGAACTGTTCGCTTGGAAGATGGCGTAGCCTGACAGGTCCATCGACATGATGAATAAGAAATCATGATTCATCTGACCAGGCAACTGCCTTCCACTTATCATGGTCCAGTCTTGAAGTAAGACCCTTACTTCCAAGCACAGAAATGTTTTAAATGATGCCAAGATTTCATGAATCTTGACATCATTTAAAACATTTCTATTCTGTAATTTTGAAAACATTTCTATTTCTGCAATTTTGGCAATCTAATTTCTTAAATCTTAGAATTTCATTTTGGCATATTTAAATTTAAAGAGTTTAATAAAAAAATATGAAACCTAGCTTTTTACATGTTCCTCTGATCCCTATATGGATATTTAGGAAAATTTTGTACTCATTATAGTTTAAAAAGCATTCAAGTCCACGTATGAATTTTTTTCTTTCTTTTTTAGACCTTATGCACAGAATCATACAGAATACCTGTTCTACTGTTCTAGAAAATATTACCAGGCTTCAGCATTGGCAACCTGTACATTAATGGATGTTTTACAATTATCAGATTAAGATTCTAATAACAAATAATTATGATTCTAGTAATAAAACTTCATGACAGTATTCGTAACATACTTTTAGACTTTGAAAAATTATAAATTACTAGTGCAAAAATTCTTTTGGTATACCAAGTGTAATAAAATTATAAATACTACTTTACTGTCTTGTAGAGTAAATCACAAAATATCATCATTAAATGACATTTAAGGAGGAGACAAAAATCAACCTGAAATTATCCTAATTTATTTATTTACTAAGCAACTGCTCAATACAGATTCAAAATGACATCAAATATTGTAAATTTTGAGATTAAATAGCTCTGTCAACTTTTGTCCTATGGAAGTCAAGTTTTCTGGACCTTTTCTCAATAACAAATACAGTCAAAAGTCGTTAATTCGGACACCAATAATCCGGACCTCAAAGCTACAAACTTTCTGCGCATGTGTCGCGTTGACGCATGCGCATAAGACCTTTACGGCTGCGATTATGCGTGCGCAAAATACGTTTACGAATGCGCGTTTAATGTATAACGGACGGTATAAGCTAAGCTAAAATTATCTATTTCAGTTAATGTTGCAGATTGCGTGTTCCTTAATCTTCGGAATGATTGGATCCGGCTTTTATTAATTACACTAGAGCAATTTTATTACCCCCCCCCCCCCCCCCCCCCCCCCCCCCCCCCCCCCCCCCCCCCCCCCCCACCCCCCCCCCCCCCCCCCCCCCCCCCCCCCCCCGGATCCCAAAGCCGGAATCCATTAAACAAAAAGTGGAATTGCTGCAAAAAATGGATAAAGGCATATCTTGTTTGTTTATCTAAACTTTAACGTTTGTTTATTTAAACTTTGTTTATCTTTAACCCCGCGGCGCGCGCAATGAATTGGAAGTTGATCTGTCAGCACTATCCTTATCTTCAGGGCAGATGTTTTTTATTTTATTTGGCTTATAATTGCTTACTAAATGTAGTATTTCATCTCGATGTTACTCCGTCTTTGAATATGATTAAATCAAATGCCTCGTCATTATAATTCGCTTCCAGTAGCGAAGAAAAGTGACAGAGGTTATTGGAAAACGAAAAAAAATTTTGATTGACAAATTAGTCGGTATTCTCGACACACAGCAATTATAGGACTTGAACAGCGGAACTTTGTAACTGAACAAAAAATTATGTCTGTTTATAAAATTACAGAGAATGTATTATCACATAAAAAATGAGGCAACTTAAACATTGAAAGAAATGTTTAATAAAGTAAACAAATAAATATTAAGCTTTTTTTTTTTTTTTTTTTTGTAAATTTTGATACACTTTAGATGATAATTGTTCTTTATTTTGTAAATTATAGTTTCATATTTTTAATTTTATAATTTCTGCATGCCATTTTACCAGATTTAAACTGATGATCTATAATCCGGAAAAATCGATAATCCGGAATCACCGAAGTTCCGACGATTCCGGATTAACGACTTTTGACTGTACACTTTTTTCCCTAAACAAGAGCACACAGCATGGGAAAACATGTAGAATGTTAGATTTTGCATTTTATACAAAATTATTATTATTTTATTTAAAAAATATAATGTTACAAGAAAAAGATCAAGAAGGTAAGCCAAACAAATCTCCTTTAGTAACATCGAGAGAGGGCTACATCACAAAATCATAATGCTGTATGTATTGTGGGCTTACAAAAGAATTGTATACTATGAATAGCTGCCACCAAATCAGAGAATAAATCTGGAAAAATACTGTTCTCAAATAGCAGTTTTAGGTAAGTTTTAAGTAAGGTGTACAAAACTAACACATTGTTTAGGTTTTGTCTTTTATTATGTCAATGTTCGCCTCCACACTTTCATGAATGTCAGACACAGACTGATTGGGTATAGGTGGGATGCTTTGTGTCCTTTACCATAATCACCAGCCTTGCCCTCTTTGATTTTTATTTCTTCATGTTTTTTTTTTATGAAAAATTCAAAGTTCTCTGAATGGCCTGAAGTTCACTTTCTTGAAGACTATACCTTCAATAACTTTTCTAAAAATAAACCTAATGATATTTAAAAAAAAAAAGGAATTTCAAGCTGCCAGAGAGATGACAAAAAGTCATACGATGAAATGTAGCTTATATGGGTCAGTGAATTTTTTTAAAGTTTTTTTTACTGTTTCATTTGTATTTATCATTAAAACAGGCCAGAACTTTCTGGATGATTTAATATACATACACACACACACATATGCAAGTTTGTGTGTGTAATAAATTATGTAAATATCTTGGTGATTAGAAGATAGTTGAGCAGATACAACACACAGAGATGACATTCACAGACAGACATGGCTGAAGACAATAAGACAGTTTATTTGACACTAAATTCTCAATTTACACTGATGAGCCTATAAACTTCCCTACACTTTTCAATGAAGAATGATGTGAAGAGGACATGATTAAGTGGGAATGGTATTTAACTGTTGCTGGAGAAAGTAAGGAATCATTCTTGCTCTTACGTTTGTGAGTGATGGGAAATGCTGCTGATCTAAATGAATTTGCTAGAGGGGAGACTGTAACGGCAAAAAATACTCTGGAACAAGTATTTCCGAAACTGCATAACTGATTGGTTGTTTAAAATCTGCTGTTGTCAATATTTATACAAAGTGGACAAATAGTGAAACAGCAGCAGACGCCAAGATGTCGACCTCCGCACGTCATCAAACAAAAAGGACATCAGAGATTGTTTCGCATGATATCGCAAAATTCGCACCGCACATTGGCTTAGCTAACAGCCGAATACAATGCAGGTCAAGTCCAAGTGTTCGGGAACACACAGTTCAGCAGACACTTTGGATATGTAACTGTGCAGCAGATGTCTCCCTCATGTGTCTGTTGATTAAGTGTCAACTATGCCTACAGTTGGCCGGGGAACAACAATACTGGACCATGGAGTGAAAGACAGTTGCCTGATGACAGTTGCCTGTCAGATGAATCATGATTCCTCTTTCATCACGTCGATGGTCGTGTCAAGATACGCCGTCTTCCAGGCAAATAGTTGCTCCCCCCCCTATACAGCACATCATACACAGGCTAATAGTGGCAGTATTACAATTTGCCAGATGTTCTCATAAGACAGCTCTGGGACCCTTAGTTGATAAAACAGACCATGCACCCTTACATGACATTTGTCTTCCCAATTGGAAATGGAATCTTCCAGGATAACACCCCATTTCAGAAGGCTCGAATCGTGTTGATGTGGTTCAAGGAGTAGAGATGAATTTCAATTAAGTCCTGGCACCCAACTCACTGGATCTGAACCCGATACAGCACATTTAGGATGTCATGGAGCAGCAGGTCACAGCTAAAACACCACCATGTAGGAATATCTTGACTTAACCACTGATTAGACATTTGGTACAAACTGTTCCCAGTCCAACTACTACCAAGAACTTGTCGCATCCATGCCAAAACAAATTGCAGCTGATTTGCAGGCCAGAGGTCTCACAATGCATTAAATGAATAGGTGGTCATAATGTTTTGGCTCTTCAGTTATATACTCTCAATTTTATGCACCCACACAATTTTGTATAACTTAAATTTTCAAACCATAGACAACAAACAGCAGAGACAAGCAATACATTTTAGCAGCACATTTAGGATGTCATGGAGCAGCAGGTCACAGCTAAAACACCACTATGTAGGAATATCTCGACTTAACCACTGATTAGACATTTGGTACAAGCTGTTCCCAGTCCAACTACTACCAAGAACTTGTCGCATCCATGCCAAAACAAACTGCAGCTGATTTGCAGGCCAGAGGTCTCACAATGCATTAAATGAGTAGGTGGTCATAATGTTTTGGCTCTTCAGTTATATACTCTCAATTTTATGCACCCACACAATTTTGTATAACTTAAATTTTCAAACAATAGACAACATACAGCAGAGACAAGCAATACATTTTAGCAGCAGCAAAGCAAAGTGGGGAAATGGGGAGAAAGAACACATGCAGAAAAATAGTCAAAAGATTCTTTAATTGGATTGGATTAGAGCCCATATTGCAAAAGGATTATATAAGAAAGCATGAATCAGATTAATTTGGAAAGACACAATAAAAAGAAAAACATTTTAAGCATTTTCTACCTTTACAACAGAGAGAGGCGATACCCAAATTACCCAAATTAAAATGAAGAGTTACATTGCTATTGATAATTTAAGTTTTAATTTTTATTTACATATTTTTTATCTTAAGGGAAAGGGGTTTCTGAGTCTGATGTACCTCATCTTGATAACATTATATCAGAGTTGATTGCATTCCTCTTTCTATGTATTTATTTTTTGTAGTTTTTTGTAATTTTTTTTAAAGGTTTTAGTAGTTTTTCTGAGGGGTGTAGCAAATGATCCCATTTAAGTCCGTACAGAGTTCAACCGGTGAGTGCAAGAACACGTGGTTTTGCATTATCTTAATCTCCATTTCTGCTCATGTCAGACTGAAAATAGTAAGCATGAGTATTTTATAATGAAAACTGCCATTGCCATAACATTCATAATATAATTATGAAAAGCAGTTGGATTCTTAATCATTTGTTTCTCATAAATGCACCAATTGGCAAATTTTTGTTTCTCACACATGCGCAGACTAGTAATGATTGTTTCTTCCCAATGCAGAAATCCACCAAATTCACTGTCTTGCCAAGGATACTATGAAAAATACATACCAAATATTCAAAATAAAATTATTTCAGAAACACAACATTAACCGTAATGGATATTCACAAGGTAAGTTTATTTTGGAATACCTTTTCATTTGCAAATCACAAACCAGTATGCTTAAAACGTCTCTCACACATTACATGAAACAAATATATATATGAATTTAAGTTACTTACTTTGAAGTAGTTAGTTCCTTTATTTTTAACTATTTCTGATTGTTCTAGTTTCTCTTCTGCTGTCATATTCCAACTTTCCTTTTCCTAAAGACAAGAGATTTATATTTTTTTTAAAAAGCGGTATATAAGTATATAATAAAACACCCACTTAAACAACACATAACAAGCCATAACAAAAGGCTGGGGGTGTATAATTGCCTTAATAAAAAGCTATGATACAAACCTTTTCAAAAGATTTCAAAGTAACCTCATATTCAACAGTAGAATTTGGTGGTACATTTAAATCTGAATTTCCACTGGGTCCAAATGCATATTTTGGAGATAAAATAATCTTTGATTTCTCACCCCTTTTAAATTTTTTTAATGCAATGTCCAGTCCTTCAACAACACCCACTTCACTTCCTTCTCCTATTTCGAATTTTACATCTCTTTCTTCAAAAACATTACCTTCATAACTTCCAGTAAGATGAACTGTAATTTAAAAATAAAAATGCATGAGTCTTCTAATATTAAATTGGCAGGTCAAACTACAAATGACAGCCTTTGAAAACTAATAACTTAATCACAAAAAAAAAAAAAAAAAAAAAAAAACCTTTTTGGCAGAGGCATTTTTATATACATCACAAATATATCTGGTGTAATTAACCCTCTGAGCGGCATGACAGGCCTTTTTATTCAGGTATGAGATCTTTTTGTTACTTGCTATATATTAGCTTATAATTCAAGATATTCTACTTTCTTTTCTTTAATAATGTAAACGTCATCTTAATGAATGTTAGTTTATGAAAAGTAGGGATAAAACAAGTAATTATACAAATTTAGGTAATAAATGCAGCTTAAATAAGGTCTTCATGACAGATCCAAAAACCCATGCTGCTCAAACCGCTAATATTACAAATGATATCTATTGTAGGATAACTTGGCAGAAATACACACATTAACGCAATGAGAAGGAAAATAAAACTAACTAAAAAAATACATAACTAATGCCATATGCTGCAAGGAGCAAATGGGTCCAAAATTTATATAGCCAGTGATGTTTCTGGAAAATAAGAGCACTTCCAAACAAGTCAATCATTGAGTGATGGGAGTGGCTTAGGTGGAATAATTAATTTCAATGCAAGTTACAATACGTAAATGTAAATTAAAAGAAGTAAAAGTATCATGAAGTTAAATAAGATGGCCTAAACTAGAAAATTAAAATAAAATTGTATTGAGAATTAATAGTAAATCAAGATAATTTAGTAAGCAGGTTGATTTAAATGCAATAAGACCACATCTGGTCATTTTCTATTGATATGATCATAATAGTTATAATTCATACGTAGAATTAAGTGGTTTGCTTGCTTAACTTGCTTATTCTTAAACTTTTTTTGCAATTTTAGCAACACAATTACTGATTTTATTGATGTCTAGGACTTGAAATGAACAACTCTTAAACAGCAATCTGCAACATTCCTACAACCTTCATAAAGAGACCACTATTTTTAATATCAAACACACATAAATTATATTTAAAGTAACTGCTGATAAATCTCAAATCCTGTGCACACAGTTACCATATGGTCAGCTTTTTGAACACATTCCTCCTCCAGTCCAGACATTTCTAAAATGAATAAAAATAACCTGCTTTTATCCACACTTGAGTGGTGGTTTGGTGGTCTCTATTTACTGCTGAATATGATAAGCAAATTTTTGAGTTTCCTTCATTCGGACTACAAGCCATCAGCTTTACATCATTAAACTCACAAACATTCCTAGTCATGATACAATAATGGGTAATGCAGATTACAGCAGGTGTCCCCAACATTTTTGTCCCTAAGAGCACATTCTAGAATATCTGTTGAATGGCAGGCACCATTTACTTTTAAAAGGTTAATTTACAGTTGGATAGAGTTAATAATACATGCACAGAGAAAAAGAGATAGGTCGTATTTCACTTTGTGCTGGTATCTGTATTGGATGTATATATATTTCCTAAACAGTATTGATTATAATTAATAATAATTAATTATGCATTTTAAATTTTATATTACTTTATCTGTGAAAAAAGTGTAGGGGAAAAATATATGTGTAAAATTTTAAAGTAAACAAAATGTCAAGTAATACTGTTTTTACGGGAATATGAAACAAGTCAGAACAATAGTGTAATCTTTAAGATAAACCATAAAAGTAGTGAAAAATACAAGAAGCAATGGAAAAATGGCAAAGAAAATGGTAAAATCAAAATATTTATTCCCCAGTTTACTGTTTCAAACAGTACTTGTCAAGGGGAAGTATCTGAAACACTAAACCTGGTTGATTAATGAGTTCCTAATAACATGTTTCTCTACTCTCGACAATTTGAAATTTGAGACTTCAGATTGTTTTAAATAAATTCCCTTTTTTAAAAAAGAAAAAAAGAAAAGTCTGAAACTGGTCCTGAGCCCCCCTACATGCTATCCATATTCAGAGTAAAACACACAAAATAAGCACACAATATATATGATTCTTTGAGAGAGGATGCAAATATTTTTGTACAGAAATTTGTTTTGCGTTTTTAATTTTATATTGGAACAAATCACTGGCAAGCTTGCTGGGATGACTTTTTTTTTTGTGATTTACTTCATACAAGGAAGCAAAAATGGTGCTAAACAGCAATAAGCACTGGGTCCTTTTCTCGAATACCAACTGATAGAGCATGGAAGTGCCTACACATATTGAGTGTTTTCAGAAAACACCATGAAATGTTTCCTTGCGTTATTGTACGTTATCCAAAAAGAAAAAGGGAATGGTCATTGTAGACTGAATAAAGAAAAAAAAAGCACTGATAATGCCTATAATAACCAACCATGAAGTGACAGGTCAACTTGGCAAAGTACAATCTTCCTGCTGGCCAGATGGGAATTTTGGATTTGAAAAAAATCGCTGGAAGACACATTTTTTATTTGCTGTGTTCATGAATTTTAACATACTGAAAATATTTAAATGCTATGATTTAAGCCTGAAAGAAAAGGATAAATTGCTGGAAGATTATGATATGCTCGGTAAATACAGCCACAGAAAAGCAGCATTTATAATGGGGATTTCCTAAGCAGCATTGTATAGTTTACTTAAACAAAGAAATAAAATTGATGAAACTAGTAAAAAATACAAATATTTCATGGAAGCACAAAAGTGATAGAAAATCAAGAGATGATAAAACTGCTCTTTTAGAATGGTTTCAAGCTGTAAGACTAAAAAATGTTCATATCTAAAAACTTTGTGCCAACTGATGGATGGTTCGCAAGATGGAAAGAGAGAAATAACACTGTTTATAGGAAATTACACTAGAGAAGCAAGATGCAGATCATCATTCAGCTGAGAACAAGATATGAGACAATAATGACCTAGATTTCTAAAAGAATACAAGCCACACAAAATTCATAACACAGATGAAACTGTTTTACACAGCATTACCAGAGTACACATTAATGTTTAAAAATGAAACAGCAGCCATTTTAAGAAAGTCAAAGAACGAATTACTGTATTATTAACATGAAATACAGATGCACCAATCAAAACACCATTGGTTATTGGAAAAAAAAAAAAAGAAAAAAAAAAAAAAAAAAAGAAAACCTTCATGTTAAAAGGAATCAAGAATTTAACTTAATTTCTGTATTTTTCATCTTCTTGAAGAAAAATGACATTCACAAGAAGCTAATTCTCAATCTGAAAGTATATAATAGAAGATATAGAAACGACTGGAACACTATGTCTTCCCACTATCAATGATACAAGCATGGACAGATGTTCTGCTGTAATTCTTCTAGATGTATTTAGCGGAGCTGAAATCACTTTACTTGTAAATTTCTAATAGAAGAAAAATAAACTTGGAAGTTGAATTACGTGGCTTTCTTGAAGTTATGTGAATTTCACCTGAAATTTCACAAACTGCAAGCTGAAAGATGATCCTTAAGTCGACTAAACTTGCTGCTACTAGATAGAAGTAAAACTATGCCTGATGAAAAATCAATTGCTGTGAACGGACTTTCTTCATGGAAAAGTTATCGAATGTGATTAAACAGTTGAAATTTGATTTCCAAGAGGATGAAAATCTGAAGCTACTTGCCCAAAATTCACTGAATTTTCAGAGATGTATAAGAACCAGTCTCCTAAGCAAAAAATCTTAATCTTAATTGCCATCGGCATGGTGAAAGGATGATTAAAGCAGAATTTTAATCTGTTAAATTTGAAAGATAATTTTCTGGAAGATGCTTCTTATTGTAAAGCCTCTGGAGTGCAACTTCGATGTCTAAAAGCAATCAAGAATTTCCTAGTATCTAGTAATTTCCCTTTTATTTTATGACTCAAATAAGACTTTCCTCATGTTTGTGATGTACTGGGCCCCTCTTTTCTCCACTATCTTAGGTTTTCCACAGAGAATGTATTTGAAGAATTTTTTTACATAATGTGCTATAATGGCATTATTTAAAGAGCTGGACATGGTGTCAATATTTGATTGGATAAATAGACTTATTATAATATGAAGAATTTGCGGATGATAAGCAGTATTTTTACTAATGTCCTTTTGAAATGGGACAAAGAACTGAAAAAGTTAAAAAATAGCTTTATGATCACGTAACTGTGCTGCAGATACCTCTAGTACCATTCTGAAAAACATTTAACTACGGTTTCTTCCTGCAAATAAGACTTCTATTGTTCAGCCTTTAGACTAAGGTATTATAAAAGCTTTCAAATGTTATTACAGAAAAGGTGGGTGCCATTCAAGAAAAAGATAAACAAAATTAAATCTTATGAAAATGCAAGCATCTTTGAAGGAAATAAAGAAGTAGATACATTTGCTACTGCTTAAGCATGTTATAGTCAACACATAGGAAGCAGTCTCCTAAAACAAAGAAATTCCTTTAGAAAACCTGGTTTTTATTTAAAAGAAGGGAGAGAGGAATTACAAGCCATTTCTAATATTTCAGACAACAGTGAGAGAAATTGCAGTGATTCATTTAAAAAATATGTTGTAAACAATGATAATATTAAGATGGCATGTGAAATCACTGATTATATTAAAAGCTGTAGAAATGAAACTGACAGTGAAAGTGATATGGAAGAAAAAGACTACACGTCAACTTCAATGGGATTGAGAAAAACACTGCAAACTCTTGGATTGAAAGATGAAAATCAGAAAAGCTATGAAAAGTTTTACGAACTTGAAAATGCAACTGAAAGATTATGGATGTATAATACGAAATAAATATGGATAAAGCAGTTCTTTGAAAAAGTTCAAATTTTATCAAATATGTAATTATAAAACTTATTATTTTTTTCATATTTTGCAAATAGTTTAATTTTACCATTAACTTTTAATGATAATTTAGGTATTAATTGTTAGTTGCTATCTTATTAATTAAGTTGATATCATAATTTGCAATATTGAAATCGCCATTTTTAAAAACCAACTACTTTGTAAGCTCAAATGTTTGGAACAGAAGTGATTTTAATAACTGGCAGGTTATTAAAAAATTAGATGTAAAAAAAATTAAAGTCTTTTTTCTAATGCCAAATGCCTGTTTGGTAATGCACCCTCTCCCAGAGTCAATGTCACCCCAGTCTCCTAATGTCATGGCAGAGGTGCATTTTTAAACAATCTCAAAGGAAAAATTTGAATTAATAATTAGAATCTTACTTTACAAATTACTTTTGCAAAAGAAATGGTTTTCAAAAAAGGCATGAAACTTTTATGCATTCATATTATTTATTCAGAGTAAATTGTATTATAATTATTATTATCTCCCCCAATGGCAGATTGTGAACAGTTACAGTTTTGTAACAGAGTCCATTAATCTATACTAAGGCCAGATGTGGGGGTCACTTTATTATGGGGGCACCTAATAGGCGGGCCACCATTGCCTTTTATGAAGGGACGGACAGTTACAACCATGCCTTCTCCGGGATCCGAAACCAGGCCCTTCGGTATTGCAGTCAGGCTCCCCTAACCGCTATACCGTCTGGGCGGCATAAAATGTATTATTCTCTTCAATATTTTTATTTTTATTCAATGTATTCAATTTGCTTTTGATTCCATTTTATTTTCCCTTGCATTTATTTATTTAAAACATATTTTGTACAGATTCTATCTAGATGTGACAGATATCCTCATTCTTAATTAACTTTTTATCTTAATCTTACTTAACTGTCAAAATACATATTTCACCTTACTTTTATCATTTACATTCCAGCTCACTGTAGTCTTACCTACTGCTGATGTATTCAATCTTTCAAAGTCTAGGTCTTCGGTTTGCCCCCCTTTTCCTGGACATGTCGTGTTCTACACGATATTCACGGCTTTAAATTATTATTTTGATTTGTTTTTTCATTCCAGGTCAAGAATTTGTAGTTGGAAGTTTCTTTTGACCTGTGTGTACTACGAGCGCATTGTACCAAAATTTTTCAGAGCCACGGAGAAAGAAAATAATTATAGCTACGAAACAAAATTTAAATTTAATGTTTCAAAATAAATTGAAGTTAATGGTGTCAAATCTGCCAGTAGACAGTTTGGCGTTCAACCTACTTTGAAGTGATACTAAACGGAAAAAAAGATGCACCGAGGAAGACAAATTCAGAGCAAAAAGTGTTCTGGGGACAAAAACAAGAAATTGGTAAGTAAAGTGCTAAATTCTGAATTAATTATTAAATTATGGTAATGAAAAGAGCTAAGAAACAATGGCATAACTTTAAAATGATATAAATGAAAGTGAATGATAAAGGGAAAAGATGTGATATTACAGCCCAGCCAGCAATGAGAGGACTGATAATTTTGTGAAAAAAAATAGACTTGGTTTACAGAGACAGCACTTACACAATGGCTACCAAAGGTTTATGAAGGTATTAGAATTTCACAGGTTCGTGATCCAGCAATGGTTATCATCTTGAACGTATAAAAAAACACATATCCAAATTCTGTATTTTTGGACATGCCTATTTAACAATATAGTTAATTAAAAAGAGACACCTTCTGTGCTCTCTTTAGTAAAATCTGTAGTAGTTGAGAAGGTACATTGTGCAATAACTGCTGACGGTAAAAAAAATTGCTGCCTTTCCCAGCTTTTAAACAGAAGACGATGGCGAAACTAAAACTCATTTGCAATATCATGATTAAAGTTGGATGTTATCCAGTTTAATTATAGATCCTAATACTTAGTAATAGAAAGTAATTGACAGTTTCCGGGGGGAGGGGAAGGTCTCACAGAAGACGTAAAAAAAATACACTGAACAAACACAGTTCCTGCCATTATTCAGAAAAATTTACAACCACTAGACATATCAATGAATAAACCGTTTAAGGACTAGATCTGAAAGTTTTATAAAGAGTGGATATCAGCAGGGTCGCAAAATTACTTAAACTGGAAAAATCTATAGACTACCCATTACACTGATTTGTTCATGGATTTTTGGTACATAAGCTCTGATTGATAAAGTAATAATAATTAAAAGTTTCAAAAAATGGAGATATCCAATACTCTCAATGGATCTTAAGATCATTACAAGGTGAGAAAGATGATGGTGACAACTTGCAAGCTGTAGCAGATGACACAAGACAGCAGTTGCAGCAACTAGGGAGTAGAAGTGAACAATAAAAGTAATCGGGAAGATTGAACTCACCAGGAAATAGAAATGAAGATATCTTATAAAATACTGTAACGTATTTTTATCAGAAAGCAGATTTCTCTTAAAGAGACAGATGACTAAATTGCAGTAACAGCATCCTTCGGAAATTAAATTACATTATCTTCCTCTCTCTATTTTTGGACAATAAAATTAGTAAAAAAAAGGGAGCAAATCTGTTAATATATACTTAAAAAACATATACTTTAATTAGCACAAAAGTACCAATTTCATAGAAAATAGGCACTTTAAAATGAAAAAGAATTTTTTTTAAATGCATACCTTCTACAGTTGCACCATCACCAGGCGTCAAGTGTCCTTGGCCTTCTTTTATAAGAGACCTTAGAATACCGTTATCATTATTGGGGCTTAAATCTTCCATTTGCCATTTAATCAATTCAATATCAAAAACTAGAGTTGCATTTTCTGGAATTTTTGGTGCACTACCTTTTTTACCATATGCATAATCTGGATGACAAACTAAAGTACATTTTTCTCCTTTTTTCATAGTACCTACGCCAATATCCCAAGCTTTGATTACCTCACCTGGCAAGAAAAAAAAAAAAAAAATCAGAATTAAATAAAAATATACTTTAATATATATGAAACAAAAGTACAGTGCATCTTTTTTTAATTAAAAATACTACTAATGAAACAGAAAAAGCATCATTCAAAACTTTAAAAAAATGTATTATATGTAAAATAAATTATATAAAAAAAAACTGCCATTGTTTAAGCACACATTAGAGGTGAACTGTATTTCACCAGCATTGCACTATGAATCTTACTTTGATGAAGCGATCTTGTGCAATAACTTTATCCTTCAACACTTTAAAATAAAATTCATCACATTCCATAACAGGTTAATTAGCATAAATTTTAAGTATCAACAAAACAAGCGAGATTTATCCCTTGAGTGAAGCATGAAAAAAAGCGGGGGACAAAAATATGTAAATTAAATCGGATTAACAGCCAGAAGAGAATTAAATGTGAAGTTAATTTTTTTAAAAAATGCCTACAATCATTAGAATGTTAGCTATCAAATACAAAAGAATATTAAAAGAGAATAATTATGAAATCAAAAGGTATTGTTTCATTTCTGCACGGAATCGTGAATTTGCAGTGATTGATATTTCCAAGGTGTGACTCCGAGTCTGTTGGACGCACTTTGGTTTACTGCTCAATTTACTACGAACTGATCCAGTCCCGTAGGTGGTCAGCAAGTTTACTTCTAGTCCTACTGAGTATATCTTAGACTTCAGCGAGTGACACTTTAGGGTTTCACGGCAAATATCTCCTTTTTTAGGGCAGTAAATATGGATGAGGAAGCTAGTGATTGCACGGATTCTGGACTACCGACTTTGTTGCTGCCATCTACTTCAAAAGGTGAGGAATTTATGAAAGACCCTAGACTCAGGAAAAAAGTGAAAACCAAAAAGTAGAATGCGAATTCGGAGAAGGAAATTATGAATGTGGAAAGAGCGAGAGATGAAAAAATACAGAAACTTATCCAGGAGTTCGGAGCTGACTATCTGACACATCACTTGGAGTTCGAAACAATGACTAAAGGAAGCTAAAACTCCCAAAGAACAGAACAAACTCACGTTGGAACATGAAAGGAAAACTAACCAACTCTTCAGCAAGAGGCAGCGAACAGAGCAAATCGCCACTAGCCCTAATAATAAAAGTTATTGGATTACCCTAAAGAAGACTCAAGAAAAGCCAATACCGATGGAGATACCGTAACAGAACCAATTTCAATTACTCAGGAAAATCGCTGAGGAAAACCCCGTACGAGGAGCCAATGCTGACAACCTGCCCCATTGTATTTTCACAACACGAAATCAACTGGATGACTCTGGATGAAATGTTCTTGATAAATTGTACAGACCACCACGAATACCAAATGAGAGGAAAATCCATACACTAAGAATTTGAAAGATTACAGAGCGATGAATGAATTTCTATTTGAAAAAAAAGATTCCCTATCACTCCTACCAGTTCGGGTCCTTCATGATGACCTGAATCGAAAAACAGATTCGGGTCATTATGAAGAACCTCCCTGCTACTATCAAAGAAGACACCATACGCCAAGACCTTCAATACAGAAACTATTCAATCGAAAAAGTTAAGCAGTTTCCCAAAAATAATGAAGGATAAAAAATTAAACTTCCCATCTACCTACTGGAACTAAAAAGCTCCCCTGAAGGAAATAAGATTCACCAGCTCAATAATACGTCCAGTTTCAACATCACAATAGAAAAATTTAACCCCTAGAATAGGCCAGTCCAATGCTACCGCTGCCAGCAATTCGGTCATTCTCAATTCTGTTGCAGTAATCCCATTAGATGCGTGAAGTGTGGGTAACAACATCGAAGCAATCAATGCACCATGAAACCCGAAGATAAGCCAAAATGTATTTTCTGCAGACTCTGTCATGTGAGCAGCTATAGAGGTTTCAGTGAGTATAAGAAAAGATTTGAAAAGAAAAGCAGCCCACCCCAGCCTAAAGTTCCCAAACTCTCTGAGGAAAACTTCCCTAGCACAAAGTCTGCCTCGATCCCAGCGCAGAAAAATCCCCTTCAAGCCACCTACAGAGAGAAACTGAAAGAAAAAATCACTCCGCCACCGAAAGATCCAAACGATGGTATTACATAGATTCAAACTGATTCGATCATCTCATGTATTGGTAAAATCAGAGCAGCAAAGAACTCAGCAGAAAAATTACAAACAGGCTTTCAAGCGGCTATGTTACTTATTAATTTCGTAGAATCTGAAGATTAGAAAAGATTTAGCACTCCCTCTATGACGGACCAATAGGAACACAGGAAATTCACGCAGCTAATTTTCAGAACTCATTTTTTCAATTTTTCCCATTCTACCTTCTTCAACCAGCAGAGTGTTACTGTCTGTTAGTCGGAGTAGGTGTTATACACAAGGCTCATCTCATTGCAACATCAAGAATCCTATTTCTAGAGTTCTCAGCCAACATTCAATAATGTTAGGGTAGGAAAGCCATGTCATTTCTCCATGTGTCCCATTCTACCTTCTTCAACCAGCACAGTGTTACCGTCTGTTAGTCAGAGTAGGTGTTATACGCAAGGCTCATCTCATCGCAACATCGAGAATCCTATTTCTAGAGTTCTCAGCCAACATTCCCTAATGTTATGGTAGGAAAGTCATGTCATTTCTCCATGTGTTACACACAGGATGTGGCTTTAGCCTAGGCGCCTATTTTCCATGTGCTTTGCACCTGAGCCTTGCAGTGATTGTCGACAAAACCTGATAATATTGAAAACATTGTTTCATTTATCATCAAGTTGTTTCATTTATGGTAACCAGAGTAGCTGAATGTTATAAAAACCCTATTATGACGTAATTAGTTGCATGATTGAGGTGAATTTTAATGATGGAAAGACTAAGGACTTGTTTGTGTGTTGGATGTTGCTTAGGAAGTATGGTGGTTTTCCTGCGGTTTACACAGTAAAATGGCTGAATGTAGTTAAGATAAATTTGAAGTTTCTGTATGATTTGGAACAAAAAGAAAAAAAAAAGCATTAATTGGCTAGTGTACAAATGAAGGTTTACTTAGTAGCCATTATAAGTGTCCTGTTTGTAAGAAAGAAATGCATATGGTCGAACTTTGTAAGATACCAGCACTACGGAGGATAATTTTGACTCTTATTTTTATGAATTTTTGTGGCAATGCCAACATACAGATTTTAGTTCAGATAATTTTAAGAAATTTTTGTATGCTGTTAAGGAATTTTGTTTTGACTAAAGGACATGGAAATTTCTAAATAAGGTAAGTGGTTTTTTTTTTGTTTTTTTTTTTTTTGTAGTGCTAAGATGAATTTCCTTTTTTTATGTTATTTCATTGTTCGATTTAAAATGTAGTTTATTGAGATTATATATTTTTTGTTTGGCTGCTCCGTTGACATTTTGTGTACCTTGACAAAGTCAGGCACAATGCCAAGTTTGTGCAATTCTCTGATGATTTTTTTAAAGTGAAAATAGATCGATGTGTACATGGATACCGAGTTTGTGCAATTCTTTGACTTTTATTTTGGCTTTGTGTAGCAGTCACAGAACTGCACCAAATCGGTGTCTGTGTACCACTAAAAATCACCAATTTTCGCCAAGGGGCACCTTTAAATACATTTTTACCACAAAATTAAGTACTGTTCACTTTAACTGAAGATTTAAAAAATTTTAAAAGCGATTTCAAAATAATGTATTAACCTTCGAAAAAATTATATATATTCAATTAAAACTAATTTATTTTAGAACGAATCATTATACTCTTCTGTTTATGAAAACTGCCTTCATCATGAGAAAAGTCAAGTTTTAATTTCACACAGTAATCATTTAAATACTATATTCTTTCTTCATAAATAACACCTCTTACTTGAAAAAACAGGATAACCACTTATTCATCTCTTCACAAATCATAAGTCATTAAATCTATTTTAGTAAAGACATCAAACCAACCTCTCAACACCTTATGCAGAGGAAATAGAGTACTGTTCTGTTAGAGCAACACGAGTTAAAAATGCACCACTATTTTTCGCTGCCAATTCTCGCCAAGTATTAAATCATATAATAATAATAACAATAGAGTTCAAAAGAATAAAAAATTGAATTCTGTAAAAAGCAATTTTTTTTTATTTTAATTCTTAAAGAAAGTAATTTTTTTCTTTTTTATTTTGTAACTTAGAATATTCTGCACATAAATAAAAAATACCAAAACAAAACGAAATACAATCTGAACTGGTGGCATAAAATTATGAATATCATTCTATATATTAGAAAAATGTGCAGTTTTTGAATATAGTCGATGCCACATAAATTCTATTAAATATTATTCTAAATGGTGGCAAACAGTGTCCCGCTGACATTTATTTCTCCATTTTGCACTGCCCCACAGTTTGGGTATGGGATCCGGTTTCGGATCTACAAAATTATAGCTGTGATTCATAGTGAAATAATCATGCCCAGCATTTCTTAGTTCCTCTTGCTCATATCCTTTCCAGCAGCCTGAAAATATAATGCTGCCATCCGAGATGTTTTCTTGAATGGCAGTCATTAATGTCATAGAAAAACGATCAAAAATGGCGACTAGAACACATTCTTTGCTTTCGCAGTATAAAACCCCGAATATCCATTGTTCCGGAAGAATATGTCCAATGCTGTTTTTCTTTCTTGTAAAAAGACTTTTTCTATGAAATCTATTTCTATGATTTTGTTGGCTCCACTGTTTTCAGTTCTTTTACGATACATCAAACTATTTGCACACACCTTCCTCAAGTAGTTATTCCAATGTACTGTCGTATTATGGCTCATTACTAATTGAAGTTTGCAAAATTCAATCGATGTCAATTCTTGACACCACAGGTAGATGAAACGAACGGCATTGAAGAAAATAAGACGCAAGCCTTCAAACCACGTTCTGGTTCTCAATCTTTTTTTTTTTCTACTGCAAGAACATACGTAACAAAACCATATAGGAGCTTTGTTCGAGTCAAAAGTTAACTTCATTGGGTGAT